GAGTAGAGCTGGGAGCGGGTAGACTAGCCAGGAGTAGAGTAAAAGAAAGATTTTCATAGGATCCTGAGTCTAGAAGGGACCTCAAAGGCTATCTAGTCTAATGTCCTTATTTTACAAAGGAGGAAACTGAGGCTCATGGAGGTTTCGTGACTTACGGAGCATCACATGGGGTGTAAGCATCCCAGGTGGGATTTGAACCCAGGTCCTCTGATTTCAGGGCCAACTCTTTGTTCTCTGCTCTGAGCTAGAGAGAAGAGAAGCACCTTGATGTACAAACCAGGGCGAAACTGTGCATGTCACCCAAGCGGAGCAGGCACTGGGCTAGGTGGTAGGAGCCTGTGCGTGTCCCTGCGAGGCTCGCCTGAAGGCTGGCCATCAGCACCCAGGCTGGCAGCTGGCGAGGCGGGGAGTTTCCTGACGGGCCACGTGTATGTGTTTGGGGTTGGGGCAGGAAGTGAGCGCCACGTTGCCGGACGCCTCTGCTGCTCTGGTGGCCCTGGTTGCGTCAGCAGACTGCTTAACAGCTGGCATGGTGCCCGCCTGGGCACGCTGTGAGTGTTTATAAACCTGACAGGGTTACTTACATCCGGCAGCTGCATCAGAGGGGCAGGGAGCTGAGGATGAGGGGGTTTGAAAGTGTTAGGATGAGGGCCTTTCCCTCCCCCGATCATAAAAATATCCGGTAGCATCACTGTTCCCTCCCCCCCTCGTCATCTCTTCCCCGCTGTCCACATCCTCTCCTCTAAATTTAGTACCTGGGAGACAGGAAGAAAAGTCTTTGGTCTCTGAAGAATGCTATGCAGAAGCAGGAGGCGGCATTGGATGCTTTGTTGGGAGGGAGTTGGGGGGATAAGAAAGAGAGAAGTGATAGAGAAGGGGGAGGGGGAAGAAAGGGGAAAATGGGGAGACAGGGAGAGAAACGGGGAGAGAGAAGGAGGGAGGGAAGGATGGAGGGGGGGAGAGAGAGAGAGAGAGAAAGGGAAAGACAGAGACAGAAAGGGAGAGAGACAGTGGGGAGGGAGAGAATCAGGAGGGGTGGAAAGGGACATAAAGAAAAGTAGGGAAGGAAGGAGAGGGAGAAGAGAGAGGAGAGAGAGAGAGATGGATGGGGTCAGGGACCCAGAGCTCGGAGCCAGTTTCGTCATATTCTTTGCCTGGCTTGGTGGGGTGGGGAGCTAAGGACCTAGGAGAAGGGACACCTGAAGAAGAAGGCCAGCTTGAAGAGGGCAGAGCTTATTTGAGTGGACTCTGGAGCCCTCTGCAGATAGTGCCCGTCCTCAAGCCTGGGGCAGCTGCTTGGGTGATGCTAAGGCTCTCCTGTGTTGAGCCTTGGACCGTTCTGATGAGTCCCCGGACTGACGGAGGGGACAAAGCCTTTGCCTTGGGGATCCGCTGGGCTGAGAGGGCTGACGGTTCCCCTGTTTTACTGGAGGTGCAGGAGGTGGGTGCTCAAATGCTCAGCTCCCACATCCTGGCTCCTTTCAGGGCTGTGGTCACAGCAGGGAGGGGCTGAGGCTGCAGACCCTGGGGGCTGAGCAGATGGACACTCTCTCGTCCTCCAGGAGGGTCATTCTCACCCCCTTGGGTCCTGCTCAGCTGCCAAGCTGTGTGATGGTAAAATCTGATCAGATCCCAAGAGATGATGTTAAGCTCCCTGCCAGTGTTCTCATAGGGTGGGCATGTGTTCCAAATCCCTGAACTCCCCTGAGCAGTGAGTGGCATCATGGGGATCAGTTATTGCAGGGAGGGGAGGGTCTCTTCTGGATGCTGGGCCCACCTTGGAGAAATACTGTGTGTGCCTGGCACAAGGCCTGGCAAACAGTAGTTGCTCGGTACAGGCTCATTGATGGATTACAAAATGATTACCAAGTAATTTCAGTGGGCAGAGTGCTAACGTCCTGGAGGCATCTGGAAAGGTCTCTTGCTGGAAGAAACCCTTGAACTGAGCCTCAGAAGGAGCTAGGGGTTCCAAGCCACCAAGCAGCAAGCATTTATTAATTGCCGACTGTGTGCCAGGCACTGCTGAGAATTGTTGAATTGTTTCAGTCGTGTCCGGTTGGGATTTTCTTGGCAAAGATACTAGAGTGGTTTGCCATTTCCTTCTCCAGTTCATTTTACAGATGAGGAAACTGAGGCAAACAGAGTGAAGTGGCTTGCCCAGGGCCACACAGCTAGTAAATGTCTGAGTCTGGATTTGAATTCAGGTCTTCCTGACTCAGGGCCCAGTGCTCTATCCACTGCACCACCCGCCCTGATGTTGAGGATACAATATTGAAAATATAAAACAGTCCAGACTCCCAAGGAAGCTGACATTCTGTGAGGCATGTGCCATATATATGCAAGATACACTTTTGCCAGGGAAATCACACTAGCAGCTGTGGAGGATGATGGGAACCAGGGTGGGCTTCATGTAAATGGTGACACTTGGAGAATAAGAGACTCTAAGAAGGCGGAGGTAAAGGTGGAATACACAGCCAGTGCAAAGGGGTGGAGATGGGAAATGTAAGGGAGGAACAGCCAGAAGGGCCATTTGGCTGCACCAGAGAGGATGGAAAGGAAATGAATATGTAATAAGGTTGGAAAGGTAGGTTGGGGCTAGGTTCCAGAGAGGGGGAGATGAAAAGGGAGTACATTCACGGTTTGGGGGACAGCGTGTGTAAAGGCATGGGGACCGGAAATTGAATGTCTATAGAAGACATCAGAAAGGCCTGCTTGGCTCTCGGCCCAGAGAGGCCCAGCTCAGTCTGGGGGCTCAGGAAGCAGGGGGCCTGGGCAAAGGAGCCGTGCCTCAGCCTAAGGTGCCCTCTTCCAACAGAATGGTTTGCTCTGGCCCCGTGTGTGTGACCCTGAGAGAAAGGAGGGCGGGGGGATGGGACGGCATGCCTCAGATGAACACTCAATTGGACGTACCCCCTTCTTCACCCATCCTGTTCGTTGTTCCGAGACCCCTACTTCCCAGGCCTAAAGCATGTGTTTTGTGGTGACTGGAGAGGATGAAGGGAGGAAAGGCAGCCCCAAAGCAGGCTGGAATTAAAAGAGGCCACATCTCAGGCCTCCGTGGCACTCTCCAGGGGAAGGGCGGGAACCATGTTCCTTCCCATCAAATTACCGGCCTCCTTAGGTTTTGTGAGAGAGACAGACACAGAGAGAGAGGGGGACAGAGAGAGGCAGACAGACACACACACATACAGAGAGAGAGAGACAGAGAGACACACATACCCAGACTGACAGAGAGAC